AGTTATGTCAAATGTATTCAAAAAATGTTACTCTGTGCGCAAATATTTGTTTTAAATAATTTAGACTAAACAAAGAATTTTGGATTCAATTGGTTTACTATTTCAATTCTACAATAAATATATTTAAAATGGTGCCTATTTTACATTTATAACTAACTTTTTTTTATATATTAACAACATTATTAATAAAATAATGCAATTAAGTGCACTGTTCAAATGATTAAGTTGTCTTAAGACTAGCTATTTGTTTTAACAGTGTTAAGATTTGCAGTTTCTGTAACGGTAAATTCTTCAAAAACACTGACATTTCATTTTTTCTTTTAAATTAATTTATTTCTTATCAAGATCATGTTAACCCAAAATAGCGCTACTGTCAGAACTATTTACGATAAAATATTAAATATGAATTACCTCTTCATTTTGCAGTTCTCTTATGATCTTAAAAACAAATTATTAAACACAAAATTAATTCTGATAAGATAATCACTTAAAATTGTCAAAAATTAAAAAAAAAATATACAACTAACATTTATAATATTAATATTTTTTTAATATTTTTTTAATACGCAGAAAGAGTTTTATTTAAGTATAACGTAAAAGAGAATGTTATTTTAAAAACAAAACATTGCTTCATGTTTGCACAATTTAATAATATTTTATTTCGATATTATAACTAATGTTGTTATAATCAAAATTTATTTATAAAAATGATTACCTACCTCTAATTTCAGATCATTGTGCCGTTCTAACGCTATCTTTAAAAAAAATAATTAGACATAAAATTAATTCTAAATTTACACATATAATTTTTTTTTTAAACTATGAAAAATGTTATATTTGTAAGTATATTTACACTTTTTAATATACGTTTAAATAATACATTAAAAAAAAACTTAAATATTGATTACCTTCTCCTTCTCTGTGAGTGGTGTAGAATATATTTGTTTAATAAAACAAATAATTAAACATAACACAGAAAATTGTTTTGTATGGGAAAAAGTGATTTTAAATTTATTCAAAAATATTTAAAAATATATTTAAATTGAATGTAGTATTTAAAGACTGCTTTGGTTTTAACGCCAATTTCAAAGTGCATTTACAAGGAAATAACGTAGGAAATTTTAGCAGCAAAACGGTTTAGATTTAGTAAACCACATTTTGTTTTTGTTTGCCTTTAAACATATCTCTTTTAGTTACATAGTTACATACAAACATACATACAAGTGAAGCTAATATAAGCGTGTTAATTAAAACGTTTTTTACCGAATGTAGTGGTTTTTATTATAACGTTTTTATGAACTCACAATCTTGTTTGTCTTTCCGGGTGGAATTTTGCAATTCAAAAAGACTTATTTCTCACCTACCAGAAAATCATGCGTGGTGCGTTTGGGCGTGACCGGTGCTCAGAAATGATCGGTACCAGGTTCAAACCCGTTCCCATCATTACACTTTTTTGCATTTTCTTACAACTTTTATGATAATTTATATAGTAATTACAACTTAATTTCAACTTTTATGATTATTTATACAGTAATAAATCTAAAATTATAAGCTTATAACTGATTACTAATTCTTATGATACTCCTTCTGACCATGCAGCCTTTTCTATAACATGTTATAAACTTTTTATAACATTGTACATTTAAATATATAGATACGTACATACGAAAACGAAAAAGAACAAAATAACCAAAGTGGATTAAAAAATTAATCTAAAAATAACGTTTTTATGCGTCTTAAAAAGTATAAAATAACCCTCCGGGGCTCTTGATAACCAAATAGGACAGGTAAACTAGAAAAACGTGGGGCGCATCATTACTACTTCACACGTCTGAATATATAATAACATTCTCTTCTCATTAATAACTACCTTAACTCATAATTCATGTACAATCATCTTTTCTCTTCTAACTAAAATAATACTTAATGACATGTCATGTAAAATTGAGCACCACATTACTTTAAATGTTAAGCAAGTAGGAAGTTAACAAAAAAATTGAAGCAACCTACATAAAACAAACTTTGGAGCGAATAGCAATTAAGTCTTTTCAATTTGCAATGAAATTTAAGGCAAGTGGCACGGAAATCCATTAAATTTCATTTCCGACAAAAAGTCATGCTATCACTTTCTGATCCGTTCGATTAGAGAGACAGCATTATGAGAGACAACTTAATGCATTAGCATGAAAGCTTAGGTTTTAATATCTAAGAAGAAAGATGTACCCCACGTTTTTCTAGTTCACCTGTCCTATTTGGTTATCAAGAGCCCCGGAGGGTTATTTTATATTTTTTAAGATGCATAAAAACGATAATTTTAGATTAATTTTTTAATCTAATTTATTTTTATATAAATACGATGAGTATGTAATGGTCGTATTATAATATGTTTTGTTTGTATTATAATGTCCCTTATTTAATTTGTACAAATATCAAAATAAGGTCACAGTTGAACCAAAATGAGTATGTTGTGTATACAATTTTTTTTAATCTTCACATACTTTTAATACGGTTTTTTCTACATCGGGTATCGTTATAATATATTTATGTATCGAAAAATGTTGTTTTTCACAATAGTAGCTACGTTGAAAACATCACAAAACGTGCAATGTAAATAATAAATATTAATCTGTAGGTATCATATCATTTTGAGCATTGGCATTATAAGGATAAATTTTTATTATAAACGATCAACTCCATTATCTAAAAAGGTCATTCTGGTACAAATTATGCATTCCATATTCAAGTATAATAATACCGTTTCTGAAACAAATTGTCAATGTTTGTCTCTCAATGGCATAACTTAACATCAACATAATCTTAATTAACTTTTCTTAGAAACCTAAACTCAATTAAGCTATTAGAATTTCAATTTTGTTTTATCAATTGGCATATTATGTGTATAATAATATCTCAATTATGTCGGGGCTTACACACATAAAAAATTATTAATTTATTACTCATAGTATAACTTATAGTGTAGCTATAATTAATTAACCGCTATGCAGTATTGTCAGTTTTATTATTTCAGATACATTTTATTTTAAAAATTGTCAATAATTTAATAGATTTATTACATTCTATAAGGTGACTAGTTGACGAATTTTTATATTTTAATAATTTTACAAATTATATTCATTTTTAAGGTTTATCTTTTATTTGATAACTGAACTTAGCGCCGGTTTGTTTATTAAAACATACATTAAGTAACTATTCAGAACCCTTGTAAACATTATGGTTATAAGTAAAGGATCAAGAAATAATATAATTATAATAATATGAATATAATTATTTATTAACAATAATATCCAACAAACGAAATATAATATAACACAATCCAAAATATTGCTAAAAAGAAACGAGTATCTTTTTTTTAAATTTTAATACATTTTAATCATTGTTTAATAACCATATTTTTTCAAGTAATTTTAAGATTACACAATTTTCACATGTTTTAATTTTAATTAGGAAGTTTCTTAAACAGTCTTAAACCAGTATTATGTCTAGGATTATAATGAATTATTTTTAATGGTGTGTAAAGAAGCGATGGTGAAATAGCATCATGTCTCAGATGTATTAAATCACATTCAAAAGTTATGTAGGTAGCTATATATTTATATATTAATTTAAATAAAAATGAGTCTCTAGATGCTTGTGTCCGGTCACTCATTCTTCTTTGAACAAAGCGAAGAAAACAGGCAGGACTTCCTTTTTGATTTTCTCTTTAACTCACGGAGTTTTTTATTCCTTGCGGCAATATACTAAAATCATTTTATAACATTTGTTTAAATAAATAATAAGTTGTATAAATTATGTAGTATGTATTATATTATAAGTGTAGATGTTTATACATTTTAACTTCGGTGCGGAGCGGAGAAGGTATTGTTTGTACAATGATGTGATTTTATTTATTTAGTTTATTTTTGTTTTATGTGACTAGACCCAAGATATCTCATAAACCGCTAAACCGATTTCTTCGTGTAACAACTCTATAAATCAGAAATCATACCTAAATGGTATTTTAATGGACCGAAAATTAAAAAAAATTACCCCTTTCCCATTGACATTGAGGAAAACACCCAAAAAATTTACACATATTTCAATCTAAAATAGCGATGACCTATAACTTTTTTAAAAATAGTCGAAAAAGTTCCAAATTTATAAGAATTGTTCTTCTAACATGGATCTATCGATAAACATTAGCAAAACAAAAAAATATCACAGACCCTTTCCCCTAGAAGCGATAGCATTTTTTTCTTGTTTTCGCTTTTTCAAGCAAAGTTTTAGAGATTTAGATCTGAAAATTAGTACGATAGTAGATCTAAAATGGAACTAGGACATATACCATTTTTACAAAATCTGTGTCCAAATTTTTTTTTTTTTTTAAGGAAAACCCCAAAAAATAGGGTAAATTTACACTTTGGCCGTAGTCAATTTATAGGATGCTATGTGTGAGTCAATCGACAGTCAACAGGTAATGGAAATATTTGCATTGTATTGTCAATTACGTTATTTTGGTAACCATGACAGTACATTATTGTAGACAGACGATGAACCCTTATCGTATCCACCCTACACAAGAATAAATATTAAATTTTTAGTACATTATTGCTGTTCCCACGATATCTTTTAAACCACTCTAGCTGGTTTGAACATACTATCCACAGATTTGCATCGAAGGGTTTATTTAAAAGTGATTTTATCACTTTCAGTTATAATAAACTCTGTAGACCCTTCCCCACTATGCCCCAACTGTACTGGCTTTTTTTTTACAATTATTAGAGCTTCCAAATATTAGTTAGTTCATATGTAAGCTTAGGTTTCGTAAAATGTAAGTGGACATTTTTTTAAATTTTTTATAGGAAACCGTCTTATAGAACTATTACTGTCAGTCCTTATTTGATAAAAGGTCCCTTAAATTTGTGAATAAAACAGAAAATATTTCAAACTCTATTTCAAGACTTTTTCATCTAATTAGGATAAAATCCTAGTATGAATATTACCTCATTCTCGTTTTTCATATCCTCAGCAATTAACTCCTCGTTATCTCCGAATATCGGATAACCTGTAAAATGTTTGAATTAGTTACATACGAAGTACAGTTCATCAGTTTTAATGAATACAACAAAATCATGTTCCAGTCGTTTCGTACAAGTGCGATTTTTCATTTTGACATAATATTTAATTGTATTGGGCACCACAAATCAATATAAAGAAGGTATAACAATAGTTTTTTCGAAATTTCGTTTTAAAATATATAGCTTACTATGGAAATCAGTCAATGATTACATACCTGATTGGCGTAAACGGATTCGCATCCGCCTACCAACTATTTCCATATTCTAAAATGATTTAAAAATATTTTAATATATTTAAAAATATTTAAACATTTAAAAGTATTTAAATAAAAACTTTTTTCTATGTTTTATACCTTAGTATGGTTTTAAGTTTCAAGAATTATACAATATTGGATTAGATAAAATTATTAATTAACAACTTATACAATAAATAATAGTGTATATAGTTATTAATCTATAGTCAGTGTTGTCAGTTTTTTTGCTTATTATTTAAAAAAAATCTATTTTGAATTGTTTTTCCCACCCCAATACAAGTTTAGTCCAAAAGGTTTAAAACACATAATGACTTATATTAATTACATTTTAAATTTATAATGATGTGTAAATACTGTTTAAAATAATAAACTTCTTAGTATGTTATTTTATAAAAAAAATTATTAATACACATTTTTTTATTATTTAAATTGTATTAGTTTATTAACCTTATTAGTTAGGTTATAGTTTTAGTGAAAAGTTAGTGTTTGAATTTTTTGGCAAAGGAATCTGGCTTATATAAACATAACTGTTGATCCTAATTTAATAAAAAAAGTCTTTGAAATTGGTAAATTAAGAAAAAACATTTCAAAATCTTTTTCAAGAACAATAACCAAAAGCCAAAAATGTATATTGATTATATTAATTTATTATATTGTATCGATGTATGTGTAAAAAATACACTATTATGTGAATTCCGCTATGTGTTAAGGATAAAATAATAAATATAAATTACCTCAGCCATGTAAGCATCATCTTCGGCAATTATCTTCTCAAATTCATCTGCTGCAACTATTTTAATGGATACAGCAAAATTGTTTACCATTCGTTGTGAACAAACCCGCTTTTTATGTTCGATATTTTTTTATTTTATTAGGTACCACATATCAATATTAATGTGGTATAAAAAATAGTTTCTATTAATTTGTGTATACACTTATTACTCACCATTGTCTTTATTTTTTGGTTCTTTATGACTCAGGCGATCGGTGAATCGCTCTACTCTTGCACGATTTTTTTTTACCTAAAATGATACATAAAATAATTTTTCTTATGACATATTTTAATACTAATATTAGTAGAGTATTAAGTTTAAAGACTTATACACAGCTAATTAATAATTCTAGCTAAAAAATTAAATTAAAAGAATCCGGTTTGAATAACCATTATTGTCATATGCTTTAATTAAATTAAAGGTCTTAAAAGTTGCTTAAAAAACTAAAAATATTTTAAATCTGTTTCAAGAACTATAATCAAAAGCCAAAAATGTGCATCGATTGCCATCCCTTGGTTTAAACAGTACATTCTTATATGAGTTTTGCTACTTTTTTATATGTTTAAGATAAAATAATAAATATAGATTACCGCTTCCGTGTACAAACCATCATCGACCTTAAAAACAAAGCATTTAATGTAAAATTAACACTCGTTTTAAATCTATTCTAATTTTTAACAAAAATATTTCTTTATAAATATTAAATATGTTTTCAAATAAAATGTAGTATTATGTAAATTGCGCTACTTTCACAATTGTTTAAGATAAAATTCTAAATATGCATTACTTTTTTCAGTTTCTCTCTGTCTCCTGCCTTAAAAACAAAGTATTAGAAATAACATTAACACTAGTTTTAAATCCATATTAATTTTCAACAAGTAGTCATGTAGTTATGGTTACACATATTCATTTACAATTAAATAATACATTTAAAAAAAAACTTATATATCCATTAACTCCTGCATCTTTGTTAGTATAGAAAGTGTTTGTTTATAGAAACAAACTTTTAATTAGAACATTGCTTCATAATTTTACAATTTTTTGTGATTTCATATTTTGTTGTTATCGTTTTTTCCAAATCCGTCATGGTTCTTCAGTATCTGATATAGTCTCTATAAATGCGGGAGTTCCACAAGGAGGTATTCTATCTCCAGTCCTGTTCAATATCTATACCTCAGACCAACCCACAACTCCTAACACAATGGTTGCAGATTATGCTGATGACAAAGCCGTTTTGTCCTGTAACTCTGACCCACAGATTGCATCCGTCAATTTGCAAAATCATCTTCATTTAACGAAAGACTGGTACATAAAATGACGTTTTAAAATTAATCAATCAAAATCAGTTCATACTACCTTTACTCTAAGACTTCTCCCTTGTCCTGGTGTCTCCCTATACGAATTACAAATCCCCTCTTCTTCCTCTGTCAAGTATCTCGATCTCACACTAGATAAACGACTAATATGGGCTCAGCAATAGCCGTCTGGGGTTACTCAAATCATTAATCGTAAACAATAAATTTACAGATATTAATACTAAACTTCTAATTTATAAAACCCTTTTAAGACCCATATGGACTTAAGGCCTTCAGCTACGGGGTAATGCTAAAAAATCCGATAACAATAAAATTCAATTCTTTCAAAACATTGTCTAAAGAAAATTAATCAATGCACCTCCTTATATCTCTAATTATACACTCCATAACGTCCTTAAATTAAAAACAGTCCATGAAGAAGCTATCTCCTACTATAAAAGATTCCACATTAAATTACTCCCTTACTATAATCCCCTTATAAAAAACCTCTCAACCTTGTCCATTAGTGGTTTCTTCCATCAAAATGTATTCATGTAATTTATCTCTACTTTTATCACATATGCTTATTGTGCTCATTGTACAGACTGTATATTTCTGATGTAAAATAAAAAAATAAAATATATTTTGTTGTCAAAATCATATAAATTTTTTTTTAAACAAAGTCATTGAATTTTTTTAAAATTGTATTTTACATACATATCAGTTATCACCATCCACTGCTCTGTTTTTTCTAATGCACACATTGCACACTCAAGTACACATAATCTGTGTACTTGAAGACCTTTATGATAATAATTAACGGAATTTAAAAAATAGTTCTTAAACAACATTTTTAGTTCCTAAACCTAAAATAGCGCTAATTTTAAAAATGTTTACGATAAAATATTAAATATGAATTACCTCTTCCTTGGTTAATTCCGTTAACACCTTAAAAACAAAATATTACACATAAAATTAATTCTGGTTTAAAATTTATTTTAATTTTTAACATGCTCATTTTTTTATAATTAAAAATGTTTTCAACTAAACTGTAGTAGGTGAGTTATAACAGTTACACTTTATAACACGCGGTTTAATAATACATTTTAATCAATTCTTTAATTATCGATTACCTTCTGTTCATCTGAGTGTAGAAAATATTGGATATTAAAAAGCAAACTATTAAGCATAACACAAAAACTTGTTTTGCATGCATAATAATCATTTTAAAATTTTCAAAATTTTTTAACTAAATTAGGGTATATCTGAGAGCACAGCAATGCGCCAGGCCAAGTTCTAGCAATGTCAGCGGACCTTTACACGAACCAATTCACCCAGTTTTTCTAACCCACATGTCTCTGCTTTCTCCTAAGATAAGCTTTTGTAATTTAAAACATAGATAAAACTCGAATAGCTTAGTATATCGTACAAATTTGAGCGTCTAAAAGTAATCGTTTTTAAAACAGGAGAATTTCAAAAGTTTTCCTTTTTGTTACTGATTCACCGACTCAATCACTCATCATCAAATCTATAAAACACTTTCCGTATAGGTAGAGACGTCAAATTTGGCACAAAGGCAGGTATTATATATAGTGTAACTAAGGGGGAAAGTCTGAGTTCTAAGTAAAAAAAAAGCAAGTTCTGCTTTGGTGGCCACATGAATCAAAAACGTGGCTCTCTGATCCAAATGTTCAAAATGCTATCACCAATGACTCGTAAAATATTTCCACGACGCTGAAGCCAGCAAAAAGGAATGATATCTCCAACAAAACCCTAACAGTGAAGAGCCAAGTTCCAGATCCCTCACAAAAATGTTAGCCTATCAAATTAATGATATCTGCATTATGGTCGATTCTGCTATTTCTTTAGTTTATAACCTCACTTCACTTCTACTTTCATGAGCAACACTGCTCTATTATTTGTATTGCATAACATTTGGCCATATTACTTTTCTGAATGAGTTTCTGAATGGCATAAAACAGACTTGGCCACAATGTGAGATACCACTATTTCGATATTAGAACTTTTGTTGTTATAATCATAATTACTAGTACATAGTTTTGTAATATTGTTACATGGTACTTATATATTATAGTCCTTGTACGACATTTTGAGTTTTATAACCCAAAATAGTGTAGCTTTTAAGGGCATTCGATACCAGCCGGGTTTTCAGTCAAAACACAGGATTATTTTGTCAATCGCACAGGCCGAACCAGTAAACTGATAAGTTATTTGAAAACAGATTTGAACTCCTCCAGAAGTTTACTTAAGGTGCTACAAAGCAATTTTTTCAATTTTGAATTGTAACCCTTTACAAATTTGATTTTAATTTTAAAATTTTATAAAATATTCAAACGTTTCTTATTCATAGTAAGAAAAAAATATCAAAAAAGTACCTTGTAGGATCCTAAGTAAACTTAATAACGAATTCAAATCTGTTTTCTGATTACTAATTGGAATACTAGTTCAGCCTGTGCGATGGACAAAAAATGTACTATTAACAAAATGGCTTTTACTCATAGACAAAATGATTTAAATTAAAAATAATACCATGGCGCTTATACAAAGTGACCAGTTAATTAATTGACATGGTCAAAATGTATTTTAACCATATTTTTTTAAAATATTACCTATACAAAACTCCTTAAAAATGGTCGATATTGAATGCCCTTAAGATAACATATTAAGTATAAATTACCTCTTTCTTCAGTTCTATATTCTGGTGTAACGCCATCTTTAAAACAAAAAAAAAATGAAACATAAAATTTACTCTTGATTTAAATCCATTTTAAAGTATTATTTTTTTTTTCTTCTAATTATAGAAATGTTTTATGTATGTAAGTATGTTTACACTTTTTAATATATGTTATAATACATTAAAAAAAACACTTAAATATTGATTACCTTTTGCTCCTCTGTGAGTGGTGTAGAAAATGATTGTTTAAAAAAACAAATTATTAAGCATAACGCAAAAACTTGTTTCGTATGCAAAATAGCCATTTTAAAAATTATTCAAAAGTTTTCAAGTATATTTCAATTAAATGTAGTATTTAAAGACTGCTTTGGTTTTAACGCCAATTTCAAAGTGCATTTACAAGGAAACAACGTAGGAAATTTTTGCAGCAAAACGGTTTGGATTTGGTAAACCACATTTTATTTTTGTTTGCCTTTAAACATATTTTGTAGATACTGATGTAAAAACAGAATCCAAAAAATATGCTTAAAGACAAACAAAAACAAAATGCGTTTTACCAAATCCGACGGTTTTTTTTTACGAAAATGCGATGAGTAGGTATGGTCGTAATATAATATGTTTTGTTTGTATTATAATGTCCCTTATTTAATTTGTACAAATATCAAAATAAGGTCACCGTTGAACTTAGATGTTTATGACTCAATTACACTACATCTTACAATGATACTCAAACTCACCTGCGATTCGTTTTCAGGAATAAAGTTAGGGTTTGTGTCACGCAAACATTAAATTATCAGAACTTGTCTTTTTTATTTTATTAATTACAAATTAAATTAAATAGTTTATATACTTCTAATCCTTTTATTAGTACTTACTAACTATTATTATAACTTATAAGATGTATATAATGTTATAATAATAGTGATTCTAAAGCCTTTATAATAAAATATGTCTGTTTCAATCATTTCAATTTGAAAAGTAAGTTCTTTTACAGTTGAATTCGCTTATTTTGATTTTATAATCAGTATTTTCTTATTTTAATTATTTCCTTCACTATTTAATATCCAGAAATTTAAAAGCTTAACAGATTTTAGTTGTTTGAAAAGAAAACCATTATTTGATGTTTTCCTTGTTTACCATACAAATTAAAGTTTAGACATTATTAAACTATTATAACGGGTACATTTTACTAAGATTATGTAGAATTGTTAAATTATAGTCTGTACGCGACAAGTTTGTCTGATTTTATACACATACATGTATGTATACTACATTTATGTATAAATACAAATAATTATAAAATCAATTATACTGACTTATGTCTTATAATGCATAGTTATTAAAAATAAAATTTGTTTACATTTAATGATACAAATAATGGTAAAAAGATTATTTGCTACAATACGTATGCGACATTTTTCCTACTTTAAAGATTTAAAAACAATTTTCATTAATTTTTGTTGAGTGTACTTTACAAAATTTAAACATTGATAACACATAGTAAAACAATAAATTGTATTGATAAATTTCAACTACGAATAGATAGTATAGTGTAACATTTAAAGAACAATAGTAATCTTTTGTCTGATAATATAAGTATTTAACAAATAAACTATTCATAAACTTATTATTAATATAACAACAAATTTAAAAATTACAAATGTTACTATTTTGAAAATATTCAATCAAAAATATGAAACAAAAACAATAACTATACATTTGAAATTGAAATTGTTCAACTTAAAAGTAACAATTTACTTGATTTACTGAATTCATTTAATACCAATTAATAGAATTACAACTTTTCAAAGAGAGAATTATTGTATACTAATAAATTTGATATAAAATTTAACTTTGATAGCCAAATACCCGTGTCAATTATAGCTAAAACTTTATGATCAAATATCCGTAATGTATGTTAAACACGCAATGTATGGGTTAGCTCGTTGTAAGAAATAACTAAGCTGAAAGCAGACATTTGAACTACCTTTGATAAGTTTAATCAAATAAAAATAATATACAAGCATAGGCTTAAAATAAAATAAAAAACAATAATGGTATTATCAAGAAGTGTTTCCTTGTATGTAGTAATATGAAATGCATACATTAATTACTGATATTTTTAAAAATAAATGAAACGGGTATGTGAGTGTTATCAACCCACATACCTACACAAATACATGCATAAATAATTATTTTAAGTCAATCACAACACAACACACTTTTCGTTCAAATTGCTTAGTATTGATATTATACATTCACATGAAAAAATGTCACATTAGAAATAAATGTTTTTTACTTATAGTTTACACCTTGGTACATAATTGTAAGGTCAAGGGTCCAATTGGAAATACATTACCATAGCAATTGATATGTCATACTCAACACCAATTTTACATGATAACATTGGGTTTTAAAAGATGAAATATTATCAGTAAAAAAGCATTCAACCTAAATTAAAAAAGCTAATTGAATTCGTATTGTATTCAATTACCTATTAAACTCTAATAAACTTACCTATTAAATTCGAGAGCAAATATTATCAATTGATATATTTATGCATATATTTCAAAAATTATAAAATAACGAGTTATGACATAACTACAATAAGCATGCTATGATATTTACTATAAAGTAAAATGTAAATTTACTAACATTTTTTAAATTAAGTTTGTAATTTCTCATTTCACTAATGGAAATTGTGTGAACTGTGAAGTAAACATTTGTTAGCGAAAGAGGTTATGTACAAATAATAAATATTATGCGATTTTGTACAAATAATAAAATATATTATGGTTACTGGTCACTCGATTATTCCGTGGTAACTGGTGCACAGTTTAGATACTACATTGCCATCCGATATAACCAGCTAATGACTAGCTCCGACTAGATTAGGAGGTTTAAGTGTAAAGTCCGTTATCAGTAACAGCCTACGTTTCGTCTAATAATGGATGGTTATTTATTATATCTGCTTATAATACGGAATGCGCTAACATTAAATTATTATTATATTTTATGTGATGACCGACGTAATAAAACTACTTGTATTTATATCTGAAACAAATTTATCGATATGTTTCAACAATCCTCTCACACTTCTCCAAGCATTCAAAGAAGAAAACACCACTGAAATCATCAAATTTTTTCACAGTGTAAATATGAGCCATAAACTATAAATATCATGTTATTCTAATTCCTAAATTTATTGTACATTAACTTCTAGGCTAATAATCCTGTAATTGAAGCCTTTACCATTAATAAAAAAATTAAAAAAAACTACTTGTCTTTGATGGACCCAATGAAATTATTAAGAAATATAGACAAAAATTCAAATTCTTACAAAGTCATAAACAGCGAACAAACGGATGAAAATTCAAAATTCAAACGCTAATATTTTTTTAGATTTTTTGTCTATATATTTGTGGAATTTAAAACATATGTTCCCATTTGAAAAAACGAAGTTCGTAATTTTTTAACGTATAAAGGTCAAAGATAAAATTTTTCTAAATATTGAAAAATGTAGTTAAATATGTACCTAAATTTTTAGAAGAAAAAAATTCTCAAAATATTCATTCATTCAGAATAAATGAGTGTCTAACGTTAGTTGGATCAACTTGTGTATATTATATATTACATTTTGATAATTAAGCGCTATTAAATTATTTTTTAAGCAAAGCATATTTGTTTTGAAAAAAAGTGGGATTAATTGATCTTTTTCCATATAAGTGGCTGAACATTTTTCTTTATTTGTTTTTTTTCCTAACCGAGGTTTAGGAATTAAAATTAGATTTAATGTAGATGTAACCAAGGTATACTGTATATTGTAAATCTATTACAAGTAAAAATTGTATTAGAACAGAAAAATAATTTGCAGGGACAAAAAATACTGTGTAAAATTAAAAACAACAATTCGCATAAAAAAAATAAGTTGTTTTTCAGTGAATTATTTTCGCATATGTTCGCACTATGCAAACGCCTTTTTACGGTTATGTACATGTATATATGAGTGTTTTTATACTGAAGATTACTAAAATATTGACACATTTCCTAGCATAGGTACAATACATAGTATAGCTGTTTATATGTATACATACACATTTTAAAGCGGTTAACGTCGTGTTGGTAAATTGTTCAATCTACTCAAAATCGGTTTTGAAAACTATTACTGTGAAATTCAAAAGATGATTTTTCCCATATAAATCCATAGGTGTAATTAAGGGAGGGAGAGCCCATCTCTAGAATACCCTCGATCCTAGTAGCTCAAAGGCTACATAAAAAAATGTACCGTATTTTCTATAAACTGAAAATTATTTTTAAAAAATGTTTTACTTTTTAGCGGTTTTCGTATGTCACAAAAAAGGGTTATGATACAAATAGTTATTTGGAAGTGAAAATAATATACTGACAATGTTGATTGAACAAGTATTGGGAACAGCAAGCTTACTTATTAGATATTGAAGAAAATGCTCTTAAGTCAGAACTTATGGTAGCCAAAAACTGTTGTAAAAATTATAAGTTTGATTCCAGTGAATAGGTTTTGACCCATCTTATGGGGGTTCAAGTGACCTGTTTGTTGGACGATTAAGCCCTAAAAGCCTGACATGATTACACCAACTCAGGATGGTTAGATTTAAATTCTGAAAAAATATTTGAACTAATCGGCCACTTTTCTAGGTTAATGTGGAAATCGACTAATGATATTTCATTTAATATTGCGTTTAATTTTATTTGCTCAAATTTGTCTTTGTGATGTAAATGAAACAGTTACTCAACAATCGACTTCCATAATATAACATGCATTCATGCATTCTATACCTTCAAGGTAGTCGTTGAGCAATTGATACTTCCTAATTTGTATAAAATGCCTAATTCAGCATGTATGTTATATCACAATATTTGTATAATCCACATTGTTATCCAACAATTTATATTCATTTATAAATATTCCATAAGAGATGGAATGTATTGTGTAAGTATTAAAATATAATTTTTTTCTATACATTTATAAAACTAAATTCGGAATACTGATAATTGCCCTACAATTTTAATTGCTCAAGCAAAAAATGCATGGACCCAAAATATAATAATAATCAAAACCGTTTTAACGTTGGAGACTTCAAATAATATGACTAGGTCGATGATAAAATATGTTGTTTTTGTTTTCAAATATTTTCTTATTTAGGAGTATAAAAATAATAAAGTAACATTATTAATGACCGGATGTAGACATTTTTAGGTGTTATAAGACCAATTGTAGGAATATGGATAAAAATAAAATACAATACAATACAAAAAAATAAATATATTAATAATAATTTATAATTTTTTTCATTATTATATAAATAATAGTATATTATAAATGT